GCTGAGCTTTTCCAGCAACTTTGTTTTTGTTCCTGATTTACAGCATCCGCAGTTCTTTTGGTTTTTATTTGCTGATAAATATACTTTGAATTCAGCATTGCTGTGCTATGGGTGAGGCATTTTTTCCAACCCTCCCAACAACAGTAATTTCAGGAACATTAGAAATAGTTTTCAAATGAATTATAATATTTATACTTGTATAGAGCAATGATTCTCCAATCCTTTTACAGATTTGTTCAGAAAGATATTTTAGCCGAATGCTAACTTTTTCTTGAGAACAAAGGTCTTAGAGGATGTGGAAGTTACCTTCAAACAATGATTCTCTGACTTGTTCAGCTTCTATTGACAAACTAGTTAAGCAAAAGCTCTTAGGTTTATAGGTTGCATGATTTTGCTTTGTATTGTCCTCCAATAATTACCTTAGTGCAACTTTGCGCTATAAGTTGGAGCTTGTATTTGAGAATCTATTGTAAAGCAATATGAACAGTATTTGATTGTGCTGAGGTTATTAGCTGATTAGTGTGAAGCAGGAATCTGTGGTATTTCCACTAAAAAGAATTCCACTGAATATTTGCAAAGGCTCAGCAGGTCTGGTAGTATCTTTGGAGAGAAATCAGGGCTAGCATTTCAGGTTCAGTTTTTGTTTCTGACTTTCAGCATCCGCAGTTCTTTTTTTTTCTTATTTTCCATTTAATATTTCTTCCTTTTTTTTGTCTTGACGGTACAGAAGTAGCTGGTATTTGTTGTTTTCCAGTGGCTGTACAGCTAAAATTCGCAAGTCTGTGGATTTCGGAGCATCACACCTCTCTATTTTGTCACTGGGTGGCATAGGACGTTGCTCCTCCAAAGTGCAGATTGCTATTCTGAGCCTTCCAGACATTTGAAAAAGTTTGAGTGCATTTGTCAATTTTGTTTTAGAATGATGTTTAATGGTTCCTATACACATTTACAGGGTGTTGATATTCTAATTGTGATTTAAAAATTCAGCTAAATATATGGAGCACACAATCTACAATTTTTGTGATCATGTTTTAATAAATTATTGAATATTGGAATAAGAAACTGAAACATCTTGTACCACTGGGAACATCCCAGAACACTTTGGTTAGTTCAAACGCTGTAATGTTGCTATGTAGGTGAACAATCACTTCAAGGACAAAGTAGATTTTCTCTGTTTAAATTTGTTTATTTTTGTTGACAGGTTATTGCTGCTGCATGTTCCCTTCTCACTCCACAGAGAGCAAATATGATTCTCCTTTCACCCAACCACAAAGAAAAGTGTACACTAAAAGAGCGCTGGTTTGGGACTTTATATAATGTTGAAGGTAAAGTGACCTATAAATGGATTAGTTTTGTGGTATATGTTGTCCTGTGTCTGAGCAAGAAGTCAGTGCTTTTAAGAGATTATGAACATGATGGGAATGGACAGGCCTCTTTTATTGTACGTGAGGTTGAAGACATTGGATTTGCATAAATGTAGATTTGAAATGTTGAGTGTTATGCAGAACAATCCGTTTAGAATATGGTTTTGCAGAATAGTTTCTAATTGTGTGTATTTTTCCATTTGATCACAAGATAATTGCAAGTACAGAAGGCCATTGACTTGAAGTATTGTATTACAGTATCCATTTGATCCAGTAGCCCTTCATACCCTGACTGTGGTCCTGAAAGTGATATAGTATCCGTGAAATATGATAACACGTTGCCTGCCAGTTAGCATATATGCTTGACTTGAGACTAAATATTCTCAATATTACATCAAATTACTGATTTAATTATATCTTATCTGTGGGTGAGAAAACACGCCAACACTTTAACAAATTTAAAGAACCAATTTATATACATGCCAGTTTGTTCTGAAATAATCTTTGGGTCTCATTGTCCGTGACTTACAAAGCCAGCTTCTTGCCCATTTCTTCTTTTATCTGTTTCCTCATAGATGAACAATTATCATCTCTATCCTGTCTTAAAGTAGAGTCAAACAAATCACAATAGTTTTCTTTAGGTACTTTATTATTTAACAGGACTTTTTTCATTGTTCTATTGCTGACAGACATTGACAAGTATTGGGCTGATTTATGGGCAGGTGACTTTCCGTTAAATCGTGCTCTTCATCTGCCAAAAGAAAACAAGTACATAGGTGAGCCATATCTTAAAGTTTGTATTTAGTTTTACAGCTAACTAAAATCACAAAATAAAATCTTTTGCAAAAAATTTAACCGCAGAAATTTAGTAAGGCTAATTTAATTAATTCATATTTTTAGTCAATAATAAAACTGATGGCGGCTCTTCTTTTCAGCAACTGATTTTGCACTGAAGAGGTCTGATCGTGTTGATACCCTGTATCCAGTGAAAATTTTAGATAACAAAAATGGTCGCCTGTGGTACAAAAAGGATACCAAGTTTCAAATTCCTAAAGGTAGATTACCTGATTTCTTCTTTTTACCTTAGTTGCAGTAAATGAAAGGGGCAGCAATAATTCAAGTACTTCTACAATTCGAAAAGGCTGATTACCTTCCTGTAACAAGTGATTATTATTGAGGTATAGGAACATAGCACTTAGGAGGAGGATTACACCATTCAGTCCTTTGAGTCTGCCCCACAATTCAATGAGGTGAAGTCTGATGTTGTGGTCTCAAACCCAGTTTCCTGTCTCCTCGTATAACCCTAGATTCCCTTATCTATTCTGCTTGAATAAATTAAATAACATAGCCTCCACTGTTTTCTGGGAAGAAAATTCCACTGTCTAACAATCCTCTGAGAAAAGAAAAAGTTCTCTACATCTCCTTCTTGAAAGGGAGACCAGAGTTACAGGGATGGCGTGGGTCTCGAGATGGGATGCAGTTCAGAGAGTCTCTGTGGACTTGATAGACCGAATGGCCTGCTTCCACACTGTAGGAATTCAATGATTCTGTGGTTGGCTTTAGAACATACTGCTCCAGGAAATTGTCCCAAAATACACTTCATAAGCTCATTTACTAGGCTACGTTTGCTTTTCTGGTTCATCCAGTCTACCAGTCTACCATGATTATTGCAATACCTTTTTCCTGTATGCTCTGTCCCATTTAATTGGTGTATAAACTTCACCCACAGTGACCTGTTATCTTTTAATTCAGTGCAACATTTTGGTGCACTGTGTGTCAGTGGTGGTAAGCGAATGTTGAAAGTGGTGGATGGACTGCCACTCATCTGTGCTGCTTTGTCCTGAATGCTGTCAAGCATCTTGAGTGTTGTATGAACTGCACTCATCTAGACAAGTGGAGAGTATTCCGTCAATTTGCAGACTTGTCTTGTTGATGATAGACAGGCATTAGGAGATGGAGTGAGTTACTTGCTGAAGATTTCCCAATCTCTGACCTGCTGTTATAGCCACCGTGTTTATATAGCTGGTCCAGGTTAGTTTCTGGTTAATGATAGTCCACAGGATGTTGATAGTGGCCAATTCTACATCTTGCCCTTCCGGGCTAAGGTCACTTCTCACTACTGTATTACTGACATCCTTAATTAATAGAGCCATTCCCATTACGTTTTCCTGGCTTCCTATGATTTTGGGATGTTAGGTACCTTTCAATATTCCGGTCCTATATTTGGTTACCCATTCCTGTGTTGGCTAAAATCATACATATTTATTTCTATCTGTGCTAATCATTTATTTTGTGATGCTGCAAGCATTCAACACAGAGCCTTTAAGTTTTTTGTCTTTTTACAGTTCCTGGAACATTTGGTCTGATCTGCTAATGCATTCCTAAAGTTTGTACACTGTCACTTCCTATCACACTGTAGTTATCATCAGCTAAATTGCTACCCTGCTGTATTTTCTTGTTCTTTTCCTGTGATTTACCACATCTCCTCTCACGTGTTCACGTCCGACCCCACCCTATAGATCAAAGCGTCTCTACAGCCTGATTTACAAAACACACCCAAATACTGGCCCCAGCACTGTTCAGGCGAAGACTATACCAGCAGTGCAGCTCCTGCTTTGTTCAGTACATGCCAGTGCATTGTGAATCAAAACCCAGTTTTCCACATTAATCTTTTGAGCTACACAGCCATCTCTTTATTTACTTGATGCCAATTTGCTTGTGCTTCGGGTAATAATCCAGGGACTAATAGTTTTTAGATTCTGAGATAACAAGGTGTAGAGCTAGATGAACACAGCAGGCCAAGCAGCATCAGAGGAGCAGGAAAGCTGACGTTTCGGGCCTAGACCCTTCTTCAGAAATTTTCTGAAGAAGGGTC